AAATTATACTACACATTCGAGACTGTTGATGGATTGATTTCATGCAACACGTCACACACGATTAAACTTCACTCTCACAATGAATAAGAAGAGTAATTTATGAAAAAAATCAACAAAAAAAGAAATAAATCGAAGAAATATACTAAAGCAACAACAGCACGTATTTATTAACAACAGCAACAACAATAAGAACTTATAACATGTTATTATTGTAGCATTAAGTCTATATAGAGAGCATGAAAAGGGTTTAACGTTGCAAAAGAACAGTATGAGGCAAGTGGAAAAAGTATAAACAATTTTGAGGAAAAAAGAATTCTGTTTAAAATTTTGTAAAAATGTTATGAAATTTAAATTTTTCGAAACATTTTAAATGTGAACTTAGTTTTTAAGCCTTTACTGTTATTTCCAGTATTGATTAATTTTTGTTTTTGTTCGAACTTCATATAGAGTGTTGCTTTTCTTGTAAAACTTTACAAGTGATTTAAAGTCATCTGAGAAAATAAAAAAAGAAGTCAAACTAACAGCAGCTGCCTTTTTTTTTTTGCCATACAGGATGATGATGCTATTGCTTCCACATCAGGCCCATATGTTGTTGTACAATTATTTTGTATAGTTTGTTGTAATTTAATATAAGCAACAACATGTTGTGAAAATAATATTGCAACAGCAGCATTATACAAAAAAAACTTGTTATAACCCCTTTTTTATTAATTTACAGATCCAAACGATCATCTCTAGATGAAGAGTACTTGCCTGCTGCATAAAAAACACACAAACATTTTATAGAATCCACAATTCTACAAATTCTTTGGCTTACAATGCCTGCCTTTAAATTGGAGCAATAAAACATAATTTACAAACTTTAAAAGCACAACAGTAATAATAAAGAAAAATAAAACAATAATTTAAGAATTATTGCTGTTGCTCTAAAAAAACACTTATAAAATTGCTGGCTGCATCAAGCTGGGCATGAAACGGTTGGCAAATAAAGTTGCTGTGGAAATGTAAATACAACTAATACTTGTGGAGAGATCAGTTTTTATTTGTTGTTTTTTATTTAACTCGATCTCTTTCAATTATGTAGGTTTAATATCATATTAAGCCGAAAAATTTATAAAAAAAATTGCAATTGTTTCTTTGAATCAAAAGTTTCATTCCTCAAGAGTTTTTCTGTTAGCTGATGTTTATTTTACGCATATAACAGGATGATTACGGAAGACTGATTTATTAAGCTGGCCGGAATTCTAAAGCACCCTATTGAGTGTTAAGTGAGGTCAGAGAAAATTTAAGACTGGTAAGAGTAAAGCCTATGGTCGGACCAAAGTATATACTACAGTCTGTCTAGAGTATACATTAAAGTCCGGGCAAAGCATAGACTGCAGTCTGGCCAGAGTATAGACTGTAGTCTGGTCAGAATATAGACTGTAGTCTGGCCAGGTTATAGATAGTAGTCTGTCCTGGGTATAGACTGTAGTCTGACCAGAAAATAGGCTGTATTCTGGCCAAATTATAGACTGAAGTTTGGCCGAGTATAGACTGTAGTCTGGCCAGAGTATAAACTGTAGTCTGGCTAGAGTATAGACTGCAGTTTGGCCAGAGTATAGACTATAGTCTGGCCAGAGTATAGACTGTAGTCTGGCCAGAGTATAGACTGTAGTCTGGCCAGAGTATAGACTGTAGTCTGGCCAGAGTATAGACCGTAGTCTGGCCAGAGGATAGACTGTAGTTTGGCCAGAGTATAGACTGTAGTTTGGTCAGAGTATAGACTGTAGTCTGGTCAGAGTATAGACTGTAGTTTGGTCAGAGTATAGACTGTAGTCTGGCCAGAGTATAGACTATAGTCTGGCCAGAGTATAGACTATAGTCTGGTCAGAGTATAGACTATAGTCTGGCCAGAGTATAGACTATAGTCTGGCCAGTGTATAGACTGTACTCTGGCCAGAGTATAGACCGTAGTCTGGCCAGAGGATAGACTGTAGTCTGGCCAGAGTATAGACTGTAGTCTGGCCAGAGTATAGACTGTGGTCTGGCCAGAGTATAGACTGTGGTCTGGCCAGAGTATAGACTGTGGTCTGGCCAGAGTATAGACTATAGTCTGGCCAGAGTATAGACTGTAGTCTGGCCAGAGTATAGACTGTAGTCTGGCCAGAGTATAGACTGTAGTCTGGCCAGAGTATAGACTGTAGTCTGGCCAGAGTATAGAGTGTAGTCTGGCCAGAATATAGCCTATAGTCTGGCCGGAGTATAGACTATAGTCTGGCCGGAGTATAGACTATAGTCTGGCCGGAGTATAGACTATAGTCTGGCCAGAGTATAGACTATAGTCTGGCCGGAGTATAGACTATAGCCTGGCCGGAGTATAGACTATAGTCTGGCCGGAGTATAGACTATAGTCTGGCCGGAGTATAGACTATAATCTGGCCGGAGTATAGACTATAGTCTGGCCGGAGTATAGACTATAGTCTGGCCGGAGTATAGACTATAGTCTGGCCGGAGTATAGACTATAGTCTGGCCGGAGTATAGACTATAGTCTGGCCGGAGTATAGACTATAGTCTGGCCGGTGTATAGACTATAGTCTGGCCGGAGTATAGACTATAGTCTGGCCGGAGTATAGACTATCGTCTGGCTAGAGTATAGACTATAGTCTGGTCAGAATATAGACTGTAGTCTGGCCAGAGTAAAGACTGTAGTCAGGCTACAGTATAGACTGTAGTCAGGCCACAGAATAGACTGAAGTCTGTCTAGAATATATACTGTATTCTCGCCAGAATATAGACTGCAGTCTGACCAGAATATAGGATGTAGTCTGGCCAGATTACAGACAGAAGTCTGGCCAGAGTGTAGACTGTAGTCTGGCCAGAGTACAGACTGTAGTCTGGCCATAGTATAGACTATAGTCTGGCCATAGTAGAGACTATAGTCTGGCCAGAGTATAGAATGTAGTCTGGCCTGGATACAGACAGAAGTCTGGCCAGAGTATGGACTGTAGTCTGGCCAGAGTATAGACTGTAGTCTGGCCAGAGTATAGACTGTAGTCTGGCCAGAGTATAGACTATAGTCTGGCCAGAGTATAGACTGTAGTCTGGCCAGAGTATAGACTGTAGTCTGGCCAGAGTATAGACTATAGTCTGGCCAGAGTATAGACTATTTTCTGGCCAGAGTATAGACTATAGTCTGGACAGAGTATACGCTCTCGTCTGGCCAGAGTATAGACTGTAGACTGGCCAGAGTATAGACTGTAGTCTGGACAGAGTATAGACTCTCGTCTGGCGAGAGTACAGACTCTAGTCTGGTCAGAGTATAGGCCATAGTCTAGCAAGAGTGTAGACTATAGTCTGGCTAGAGTGTAGATCATAGTATGCCCAGAGTATAGGTCATAATATGGCCAGGGTAGAAATCATAGTCTGGCAAGAGTATATATCATTGTCTGGCCAGTTTATAATTCATAGTCTGGCTAGAGTATATATCATAGTCTGGCTAGAGTATTGACTATCGTCTGTTCCAATTAGTCCATTCAAACTTCTGCTTCTCATAGATTAATATAACTTCGCTTAATCACCCTCAAAGAGTTAAAAAATAAACATTCCTTTGTATTCTTACCGTCTTCCGTTTGTTTTAAAATTTCTTATTGCTTTAGTTTTTTATTTTTTTTTTTTTTTGATTTTGTTCTTTTACAGACCAATTCAAAGTCATGATTATTTAACATCAGTTTATATAAAATGATTTTTCTTGAGAAATTCTTGTCGTATTTTTATTACTTCTTTCCAGAGCTCTGGCACATGCAATATTTGCTGTGTTTTTTTTTCCAAAAGTATGATATTATATACATCAGTGTGCTTTTATGTGCTTTGCTGAGGCTTTGAGGATGTTTTGAAATGATTTTTTTTTTTGTTTAAGAGTTTGACAAGAAACTTCAGTTTGAATGAAGAAAGAATAAGAAGAAAAAAATGGCATTCATTACAATCATCAAATGTGGATTATTTCAGTTTTATTTAAGTTTTTTTTTTAGAATTTTTTTGTATATATGAATGTTTGGCAACATTTACTGCTCTTTTAGTAAAGAACTGTGAGAGAATAGTATAAGTGTATAATAAAATTTACACTGAGAAAATTTTGCCTGAAGAACAGTTAATAGCTGGGGAAGTTTTGAATTGAAATCTGCAGCAATTACGTTCCTTACAACTTTATAAATTTTACCCCTATATTTTCGCTTAGTGTAACCCATTCAGTTTTAGCAGCAGTTTTTGTAGTAGTCGGTCGCAGTAATTGTAGCAATAGCAGTCATCTCAGTAATAATAGTTTTAGTATAGATTTCCTCATCATTGGCTTTCATGTTTGTTGTTTTAAAAAAACCCCAACAACTACTACTAACAGTGCAAAATCTGTCGAGTTAGAGTAGGAAACTGGTCAGAGGAAAAAAAAAAAAAAAAAAAAACAGAGTCAGTGTCTTCTGTGTCTATGATTGTTGGATTAAAAGTGCTTAAAGTCATTAATGGTTTCCGTTCTATACTGTTTTGTTCATTTCAGTTCAGTTCAGCACAATTCTACTTATGCACTGGTCATTTACAGTTCTTAATGTTTAGAATGTCTCTTTTTATACAAAGTAATTTTTTCCATAATATTTTACAAGAAGAGTTTACATCCATACACACAGAGATAGATAGAGAGACAGACAGACAGACCGACAGCCGAACTTGGTAAGCAATTATGTATATAAGTATATGAACTATATATATATTAGTGTATTTACTACTCTAATACAGCTGGACTTTAATGTATATAATGTAATTTTATTATACTTGAACTTTAGTTTTTATGTTGTAGAGGTAAAGTTTTATTTTTAATGCTTCATATAATTTTAAAATGACACACTTTTAGCTTAAGACTGTTAAATGTTAGAAATGTAAGAGTGAAATAAAATAGAAATAGTTTGGTATAAAAAATATTATTATTTTTATAATAAAATGTACATTGCTTAATTGCCCAGTTAGAACTTACCTTAGTTAAAGTAAAAGTATGAAGACTATATGGAGCTGTAAGTAGAAAATTAGAAGAAAAACTTAATTAGAAAAATGTGTTTTAAAATATAGGTCAAAGGCAAAAGTTTATTAGAATGGGGTGATTTAAATAGACTATACTTGAATTCAAATAAATAGTCTTAATCGTGATCAGATAATAGTCTATATTTTGGTACGACAAGAGCCTATAATCTGGCCAGATAAAAGTCTATAATCAATATTCGTACTCTAAAATCAGTACTCTGACCATACTAAAGCCTGTACTGTGGCCAGGCTATAGTCTGTACTCTGGTCAGTCTATAGTCGGTAATTTGGCCAGATTAAAGTCTGCACTCTGACCAGACTAAAGTTAGTACTCTGACCATACTAAAGCCTGTACTGTGGCCAGACTATAGTGTGTACAGTGATCAGACTATAGTCTGTACACTGGCCAGACTATAGTGTGGCCAGAGTATAGACTATTCAGTTCTAGTTCAGTTCTAGTTCAGTTCTTAGTTCTAGTTCAGTTCTAGTTCAGTTCTAGTTCAGTTCTAGTTCAGTTCTAGTTCAGTTCTAGTTCAGGTTCTAGTTCAGTTCTAGTTCAGTTCTAGTTCAGTTCTAGTTCAGTTCTAGTTCAGTCTAGTTCAGTTCTAGTTCAGTTCTAGTTCAGTTCTAGTTCAGTTCTAGTTCAGTTCTAGTTCAGTTCTAGTTCAGTTCTAGTTCAGTTCTAGTTTCAGTTCTAGTTCAGTTCTAGTTCAGTTCTAGTTCAGTTCTAGTTCAGTTCTAGTTCAGTTCTAGTTCAGTTCTAGTTCAGTTCTAGTTCAGTTCTAGTTCAGTTCTAGTTCAGTTCTAGTTCAGTTCTAGTTCAGTTCTAGTTCAGTTCTAGTTCAGTTCTAGTTCAGTTCTAGTTCAGTTCTAGTTCAGTTCTAGTTCAGTTCTAGTTCAGTTCTAGTTCAGTTCTAGTTCAGTTCTAGTTCAGTTCTAGTTCAGTTCTAGTTCAGTTCTAGTTCAGTTCTAGTTCAGTTCTAGTTCAGTTCTAGTTCAGTTCTAGTTCAGTTCTAATTCAGTTCTAGTTCAGTTCTAGTTCTAGTTCAGTTCAGTTCTAGTTCAGTTCTAGTTCAGTTCTAGTTCAGTTCTAGTTCAGTTCTAGTTCAGTTCTAGTTCAGTTCTAGTTCAGTTCTAGTTCAGTTCTAGTTCAGTTCTAGTTCAGTTCTAGTTCAGTTCTAGTTCAGTTCTAGTTCAGTTCTAGTTCAGTTCTAGTTCAGTTCTAGTTCAGTTCTAGTTCAGTTCTAGTTCAGTTCTAGTTCAGTTCTAGTTCAGTTCTAGTTCAGTTCTAGTTCAGTTCTAGTTCAGTTCTAGTTCAGTTTTGTTCAGTTCTAGTTCAGTTCTAGTTCAGTTCTAGTTCAGTTCTAGTTCAGTTCTAGTTCAGTTCTAGTTCAGTTCTAGTTCAGTTCTAGTGCAGTTCTAGTTCAGTTCTAGTTCAGTTCTAGTTCAGTTCTAGTTCAGTTCTAGTTCAGTTCTAGTTCAGTTCTAGTTCAGTTCTAGTTCAGTTCTAGTTCAGTTCTAGTTCAGTTCTAGTTCAGTTCTAGTTCAGTTCTAGTTCAGTTCTAGTTCAGTTCTAGTTCAGTTCTAGTTCAGTTCTAGTTCAGTTCTAGTTCAGTTCTAGTTCAGTTCTAGTTCAGTTCTAGTTCAGTTCTAGTTCTAGTTCAGTTCTAGTTCAGTTCTAGTTCAGTTCTAGTTCAGTTCTAGTTCTAGTTCAGTTCTAGTTCAGTTCTAGTTCAGTTCTAGTTCAGTTCTAGTTCAGTTCTAGTTCAGTTCTAGTTCAGTTCTAGTTCAGTTCTAGTTCAGTTTCTAGTTCAGTTCTAGTTCAGTTCTAGTTCAGTTCTAGTTTCAGTTTCTAGTTCAGTTCTAGTTCAGTTCCTAGTTCAGTTCTAGTTCAGTTCTAGTTCAGTTCTAGTTCAGTTCTAGTCAGTTCTAGTTCAGTTCTAGTTCAGTTCTAGTTCAGTTCTAGTTCAGTTCTAGTTCAGTTCTAGTTTAGTTCTAGTTCAGTTCTAGTTCAGTTCTAGTTCAGTTCTAGTTCAGTTCTAGTTCTAGTTCTGTTCTTGTTCTTGTTCTGTTCTAGTTCTGGCCAGAGTACTATAGTCTGTACTCTGGCCAGACTGTAGTTCCGTACTCTGGCCAGACCATAGTCTGTACTCTGGCCAGACTATAGTCTGTATTCTAGGCAGATTATAGTCTGTACTCTGGCCAGACTATAGTCTGTACTCGGGCTATACTATAGTCTGTACTCTGGCCAGACTTTAGTCTGTACTCTGGCCAGACTATAGTCTGTACTCTGGCTAGACTATAGTCTGTATTCTAGGCAGATTATAGTCTGTACTCTGACCAGAATATAGTCTGCACTCTATTTGTGATTACATTCCTTTCAACAACTGCCCTTCCCATTTCCAGCAGTTGTTCATTGTACATTGACTCTCATCTGAATATGGGTTAAAATTTTGCGGCATTCACTTTTGTTTATTGAACTGATCTAGATTACAGTTTTTTTTTTCTTTTTGCCCCGTTATTTTCTGTTTGTGGCCAGACTATAGTCTGTACTCTGGCCAGACTATAGTTTGTACTCTGGCCAGACTATAGTTGGTACTCTGGCCAGACTATAGTCTGTACTCTGGCCAGACTATAGTCTGTATTCTAGGCAGATTATAGTCCGTACTTTGGCCAGACTATAGTCTGTACTCTGTCCAGACTATAGTCTGTACTCTGGCCAGATTATAGTCTGTACTATGGCTTAACTATGGTCTGTACTCTGACCAGACTATATGCAAACTATTTATGATTACATTCATTTCAACAACTGCCCTTCCCATTTCCAGCAATTGTTCTTTGTACATTGACTCTCATCTGAATATGGGTTAAAATTTTGCGGCATTCACTTTTGTTTATTGAACTGATCTAGATTACAGTTTTTTTTTTCTTTTTGCCCCGTTATTTTCTGTTTGTTGTCAATTTTAAATTAAAATAACAACAACTACTATAACAATAATAAAAAAAATATACAATATTATTTATTTAAACGAATATTTATGACATGAATATAATATGTATAATGAAAAAATACTTTAAAGTGTACGATTTTTTTTTACATTTATTTATTTAATGATTTTTATTTTTTTTTTTTTTTTATTTATTAAAGTATTTTCAGTATAAAAACCAGAAAATATACACAAAAATCTCATTGTAACTAGGCAACAAAAAGATTTTTCGTATTTCGATTTCGACCACAATTTCGAGGTATTATATACCTGTGAAATTTTTGTTCTTGATATTTGCGTGTGTGTGTGTGGAATTGTGCGAAATAATGAGTTTTTTTTTTAGTGGAAATGTATTTATATAAAATAATTATTATAAGGTATTAAAAACGTTGTTTTATATTAAATGATTTAAATTAAAATTAAATAATGAGTTTTTTTCTGTTGTTGTTAGTTAATGGCATCAACATATAATGAAGGCATTTAAGGGAATTTATTATTTTTTTTGGTAAATAAACACAAAACCATAAATGAGAAATTTATTAACTTGTTAAAAAAGCTTATGAAAAGTATTAAATTTTGTTTTTATTAAATAAATTTAATAAAACAGGTGCTGTTTTCCGTAGAGGAGATTTCTGTATTGTTTGCTAAGTAGCTTGGACTATCAATAGTTTTATTATACTCATATTTTTATTTATATTTAAAAATTTGTATTTTTGCAAATTTATCTAAAATATTTTTTTTTTTTAATCTTTATACACACAAGTGTAATTATTGTTTAAACTTCCCTGAGGGATTTAAAACATCTGCTGGAATTCCCATTTTATTTTATTTAAATTTAATAGATTTTATTTTAGAATTTCTTTTTTATTTCATCTTTTGCCAATTATTTATTTCAATAACAGTTCAGTTATCGTTGTATGGGTCAAATTCTATAGAATTTCTATTTTATTTACACTCAGTCAAACTCTAGTCCTCTCTTCTGTTCAATAGAAAATCAAAGTAAAAATACAGTCTTTTTTCAACAAAATTTTATTTCCAGTTACTTCCCATGGCCTCTTGAATTTATTTTGTTGCTTTGATTTTTTAGTTCTTGTTGTTGTTGTTGCTATTGGTATTTTGTTATGCCTTTGGCAAATAACAAATTTTGTATTTTTTTATTAAAAAAAAAATTATATTTTAATTTGATTTTCTATGGCTGATAACAGTCAGCAACAGCTTTACCATCAACACCACATCTATAGCCAATATATAGCACAACAACAACAACAACCACCATCACAAAACATTACAAAACTAGCAAATAATGAAATATATATAGAGAAAATATATATCGCTTAAACATGAACTACTTTAACATTCAAAAACATCCATAAAATACTGCTAAAATGAGAGAAAGAGCAAAAAAACAAAAAAAAAGTTTAAAGGCGTGAACCCATTGAAATTCAGCCACTCAACAAGTTTTCATCTTTAACGATTCTTTACAGTTTCCCATTAGATCCAATTCATACAACAGGTATTTCAGTTCACTTAATTTTTTTTTTTCAAAATTTCCTGTTGAAATTGTTTTTGTATTTAAAGTTAGTAAAATGTAGCTGATTTTGTGGTTTAATGCTAATGTTATGGTTTTTTTTCTTTCTTCAAACCTCTCCAGCTTATTTTTCATTTTTTGTTCAAGTGCTCTCAACCAGAAACTGTTATTTCTCGTTATCGTTTTAAATAAAATGAAAAAAATTTATTTAACAGTTTACTAAATTATAGAAATTAAATTTACTTAAATAACAAAAAGAAATATATACATTGCAGCAGTAAAAAGAACAAGATGTGTTTAAGTATTAGTTAAACAGAAAGGAAACTGAATTGTAGTAAAAGTTATTAATTAAAGTGTGTGAACTAGTTGTGCTACAGCCTATACACAGTAACAACTATAGTCTGTGCACAGTATATTCTAGTCTATAGTCTATTACATAGTCTAATCTATAGTCTAGTCTATAGTCTATTCTATAG